CCACTTCCTCAAACTCAATCTTTTCAAAACTGAGCTCTTAGTATTACCCCCAGCCCGTGCCCCCTCCCCTGACTCCTCCATCAAGATCAATAACACAATCATCAGTCCCTCCCCTCATGCCAGGGTACTAGGTGTAACCCTAGACTCCCATCTGTCCTTTCAGCACCAAATCCAATCGCAGTCCAAATCTTGTAGACTTCACCTATGCAACATCTCCAAGATACGGCTGTTCTTAACCTCGGAAACCACTAAGCAACTTATTCACTCCCTTGTTATATCTCGCCTTGACTATTGTAACTCCCTCCTCATTGGCCTACCTCATCGCAGGCTATCGCCTCTTCAGTCTGTCATGAAAGCTGCTGCCAGACTCATCCACCTTACAAACCGTTCTGTATCAGCCACCCCTCTCTGCGAATCCCTCCACTGGCTTCCCATTGCCCAGCGAATAAAATTCAAAACATTAACAATAACATATAAAGCCATTTATAACTCTGCCCCAAATTACATCAGCAATCTTGTCTCCAAATATCACCCAAACCCCACTCTCCGCTCCACGCAAGACCTCCTGCTCTCTAGTTCCCTTGTCTCCTCCTAACATGCTCATCTCCAGGACTTCTCCAGAGCTTCCGCCATCCTATGGAACTCTCTACCCCAATTTATGAGACTATCGCCTACTCTACTCACTTTTAGGCGATCTCTGAAAACCTATCTCTTCAGGGAAGCCTATCCTGCCCTCAGCTAATAAAGGAATCTTCTACTTCTCCTACCAGTCCATCCCCCACAGTTACTACCTTTTGTACCACTAGCCCCTCCCTCCTAGATTGCAAGCTCCAAGGAGTAGGGCCCTCCTATCCCTTTTGTATTGAACTGTATTGTTGCTGTATTGTCTCCCTTTATATTGTAAAGCGCTGAGCAAACTGTTGGCGCTATATAAATCCTGTATAATAATAATAATAATAATAATATAATGATAATCCCTAGATCCATCACCTACCTGGTAGCCAAACTTTTTTTTTCAGATGTGTACAGGCCTCTATAGACAGGAAATTGCTATAAACCAGTAGCTAAAAAAGAGAACCAAAATCTTCGCTAAGTGTAAGAGTGGAATTGATAACAGAGTTGGCAGTGCCTACACCCAGGCACTGTGAGCAGAGGGGATTTCCTTCCTGGGAAATTAATACAGTAATCCCAACAAAGTAATTGGGAACAGAAGAGCTATTGCAACCAGCATATAACATTAACCATAAGTACATAGATGTACACCAGTATAGAAATAATACAAGCTTTAAGAAAAGAATAATAATGGTTCATATATCAGCAAAGGGCCAGATAGGACTCCTCATGAAACTGAGTACATAAACCTGGGCATAGATAGTTATTAATAGATATACCTCCAGATGAATGTTGCAGCAAAGTCCAGAGGATAATTGTGATGCAGTGTTTCTGTTTGTGTTGGAGACCTGAAGAAAAGAGCACCAGTGATGGGAATTATCCTACAACTGTTGTCCAACCAGCCTAGAATGCAGTTTCTCATATGCAGAAACTGTAGTGTGGCACTGAAACTCTGGAAACAGCATATCTACTCTGTGCTCTAGTCCCTACCTAGTAGTTTCTAATCTGACATGCTACTGGACCTCTATCTGGACCTGTGTAAACCAGTCAGTATGCCTGATCACAGCCACACCAGTCATATGATGTACTACGCTAGTGACAGATCACAGCCACACCAGTCATATGATATTACTACGCTAGTGACAGTATAAAATATTTAATATTTAATTTTCTTCTTTTTCCAAAAAAATTGTGACAAAAATTAAAAAAACTTGCCATGCCTTTCTAAATACCTCACACTGTCTACTTTCCAAAAAGGGGTCATCTAGGGGGTATTTGTACTGTCCTGACATTTTGGGGCCTCAAGAAATGAGCTGCCAGTACATCAGGATTGATCAATTTTCAATATATATATACCATAGATTGTAGAAGCTATAACTTAAACACAAACCAATTAATATACACTTATTGGGATTTTTTGTTTATCAAAGACGTGGCAGAATACATTTTAGCCTAAATTTATGAAGAAATTAGATTAGAAAGAAAGTATTGGGTTTTTTTTTCTTTCTTTACTTTTGGGTCTATTTAAATTTCTATAATAAAAAAATATAAAAACCCAGTGGTGATCAAATAGAAATAGAAATCAAAAGAAAGCTCTTTTTTTGTGAAAAAAACTATATAAATTTCATTTGGGTACAGTGTTGTATGACCGTGCTATTGCCAGTTAAAGTAACACAGTGCTGAATAGCAAAAAAATGTTCTGGTCATGAAGGGGGCAAATCCAAGTGGTTAAAGTTCAGTAGTTAACCTCAACCACAGGGCTGTAAAAAATGCAGTTACAACCATTCCTTATTTACAGATCTAAATGCAGCTCCATTTGAATGGAGACATTCACACAGTTGCGCAAACATGTTCTACATTTGGATCCATAACCAAAATCCAAAGATCTGCATCTGAGGACATGCATATACGTGCATACCATTGAGAAAAAGAACATGGCACTTTTTACACATTACAAATGGCTCTTTTAACTGTTTATTACACAGGATCCTATGTCCCTTGCCTTAATGATCAGTACATTTTTACAACTGTATTACAGCTGTGTGAATAAGGTCTAAATCCTGTAAACATTCTGTTCTATTTTTTTTTATAGCATCAAGTCTACTGATAACTCTAATTGGTGTGCAAAGTAATAAGTGCTAGAAAAAAATATACAAACAATAATTAGCTGTACCCTTTCAGTGTTGTGTATGTGAGCAACATCACTGATACTATGTAATTTGTATTTACATAAAAACAAACGTGTTTTTTTTAAAATAAGATTAATTCCACTTTAACCACTTGACCTTCGAAAGGTTTTACCCCTTCATGACCAGGACGTTGTTTTCTATTCAGCACTGTGCTACTTTAACTGGCAATTGCTCGGTCATGCAACACTGAACCCAAATACAATCTATATATTTATTTTGTCACAGATAGTACTTTCTTTTGGTGGTATTTATTCACCATTGAAATTTTTTATATTTTGCTATATAAACAAAAAAATAAAGAACATTTTGAAAAAAAAATGTTTTTCTTAGTTTCTGTTTTGCAAACAAATAATATTTCTTCATAAATTTCGGCCAAAATGTAGTCTACTACATTTCTTTGGTACAAATAACCCAAATCAGTGTATATTATTTAGTGTGTACAAAAGTTATAGAGTCTACAAACTAACTATGGGATATATATATTTGAAAATTGATCAATCCTGATGTACTGACGTCTTATCTCATATTATGAGGTCCTAAAATGTCAGGACAGTACAAATACCCCCCCAAATGACCCCTTTTTGGAAAGTAGACAGTCAAAGGTATTTAGCAAGAGGCATGGAGAGTTTTTGAAGTTGTAATTTTTCTGTCACAATGTTCTGGAATAAAGACATTAAATAATTTTTTTTTACATACTGTCACCAGTGCAATACAGCATTATCATATAACTGATTTGGCAGTGATCAGGGATACTGACTGGTGACAGTATGTGAACAAAAAATTGTAAGTTTTTGTTTAACTTTTTTTTGTTCTTTTTTTACATACTGTCATCAGAGTAGTTTAGTCACCATAGTGACCTACTCTGGGGATGGGGAGGTGATCAGGATTTTTTCTGTACACTGTGAATGCTTGTTACAGTGATGATCAATATACAGGGGCAGACTGACAACTCATGGGTAATAGGGGATCATGGGGCCCCTGTGTCCTTGCCAAACTAAAAAAAGCCTATGAAAAAGGTACCAGGGGCATCTCATGGGGCCCCCTACTGACCCCGGGCCCTTGGGCAGTGCCCGAGTTTCCAAATGGTCAGTCCACCCGTCAATATAAGAGCAATCATTTGAACTTTCATGAATGACTTTCATTCATGACTCATTGTTTGCTATTGCGATGCTATGATTGACCTACAGCTATCACATAGTATCACATGGTACAGGGTGCTGTGAAAGGCCCAGGTACCATGCGGGCAAAACTATGTACCTGTATTTCGACTGCCTATTGAGGTATTTGCCAAGTGTTTAACCCTTTAGCTGCCAGAGCCGTTTGTACTTTTTTTTAACGTGTTTAAAAAATTTTTTAGGCCTGACGCTTACATAAAAAACCCCCAAAACCTTTTATATTTAAAGAATGATAGGTAACATATAAATCGCTATCAGCATTTTTATGAGCAGGTAGCCCAGATCCACGTGTTTCTGTTTGTACATGCTTAAACATTGGGGGGGGGCTCAATTTTTTTTTGGGGGGGGGGTGGATTTTTTATGTGTTTGGATGTAATTTTAATTTTTACTATTTCCATTATTTTTTCTCTTTTTACTTAACTTTTTTTTTCATCATATAAGGAATAAAACACCACTTTAAGTCCTTATGCACACTGGAAGTTTTTACAGCTGCTGTTTTTGGCTTTTGGCATTTTTTCCTTCAGCCAGTAACCTCCCCAGCATGTTAACCCATAGGGTTTAATCAGCATTTTTTAGCAGAGGTGTTTTTTGGCTGAGCCCCCCCCCCCCCCCCCCCCCCCCGAACTAGTGGCTTTCTAGAGGAGGTTTTTAGCTGTAAAAACACTCTTAATGCTGAAAAACATGCTAAAACACTGTAAAACGCAGCAAACTGGCATTTTTGAACAAAAATGTTATCTATATTTTGTGTAAAAAAACACTGAAAACTGCAAACGCGGAAAAACGCAGCTAAATGCTAATGCAAAAACAATAAGAAAAGATGAAAAACTTGCTTTTTTAACTCAACTTTACACAGCTAACGCTGCCTGAATTATTAAAACAATAATGTGCATGGAGCCTTACAGGTGTTTGGCTTTTTTTCAGCTTGTAAAAGCACCTCTACCAGGGGCGGACTGACCATTTGGGAATTCGGGCACTGCCTGAGGGCCCGGGGTCAGTAGGGGGCACCATGAGAAGCCCTTGGTACCTTTCATAGGCTTTTTTGGGTGTGGTTTGAGTGTGGGCGAGGACACAGGGGCCCCATGATCCCTTATTGCCCGGGGGCCGCCCATGACCTCTACATTAGCCTATGTGTCCATACACACATAAGCATTCATAGGCATATTAGGAATGGAGTGTTTGCAGGCTGAAAAAAAAAAATAAGCCACCAAAAGCACATTCAGTAGAGAATCTGAAGAGCAGAAAAAACACTGAACATGCCTAAATGCACCTAAACACTAGATGTGTCTACCTTTGAGCTTTAATACATTCCAATGGCCAGAATAAATTAATATTCAGGGCAATGGAATCCAATAACGGTCAAATGCTTCAGGGGCTTACTTGCACCTAAATGCGTGTGCAATACCTCGTTTTTTTTAAGCAGCTTTTCTCCAGCCAGGAGTTCTGATGTTCAGATGGGCTTTGTGCATAAGGCCTACCTGTTTATACTGCTTACACACTTCAGATATTTTGGATGATTTTATGAGCACAGTAGAGGGTGACTGAAGGAGTCTTGAGTGTGATAAATCATGCAGCTTATACATATTACAAATGGACTGTGGTTTCAGCTCTCATTTCATCTAAATGTGATGCGCTCTCTTAGAGGAGATTCATTTAAATAGTATCAAAGCAGTCAAAGCCAGCTGATGGTAGATCAGATTATTTAATGTATGGTCACCTTTACACTTAGCATTCCTTACAATGCTATGCAGTTTAATGTATAAAAATGCTGATTGTCTGTAAGGAGCATTTAGTCCAATACACATTTAGTCCAATATTTCTGGGCCAGCATCCGGGGCATCAGGAAAGTACACAGAATATCCTTTTTTAACATCTGTATTTAAAAAAGAAGCATGGTTAAAGCTTTTCTTGTGGGTCACAGGAGTGCACTTTTATTTGCTCTCCTATGACTCAGCAACAACTAAAGCCCGGTGCCTGGTTGACATCACAGAGCTGCTCCAGGCTCTGGAAGGATCACATCCATACTGTTAGGATCCACCACCCAGCTGCCTGATTTACAGTTGGTGTGCGGCAGAGAGCAAAAGCCAGATGCACCCACCCCCTCTCCATTCCACTGCTCCAGTGAATAATGGAGGGGTTGAGCAGAATGCAGTTAATGACAGTCACTGGCTCTCTGCTTCTTGAAGACCAAGAACTGAGTGATCAGCAGTCATGTGATCGTTCAATGTTCGGTCTTAGAGCTGGCAGGGGACAGCTGAAGCATCACAGTGATGGGAGAGCATGTATGTTTGTTTTTTTTTAGTAACCCCATACATCTCCTTAAAATAGCTGCAGAAAGTGGGACTTTTTTTTTTTACCTACACTCACAAGCACATGTATAACAACATTAAAGCAGAGTTCCAGATGACAAAAAAAAAATAAAGTCAGCAGCTACAAAAACTGTAGCTGCTGACTTTTAAAATACAGCCACTTACCTGTAACTCGGTTCAGCGGTGTCCTCACCACGGCTGGTTTCACTGGCTGTCTTCTCTCCCCGGCATCTTCAGCTTCCGGCTTCACAGCTGGGTGCTCACTGCACATGCGCGAGAAGCGATTCGCTTTTTGAATAGCCCCATAGTCTTCTGGGACCTGTCACGTGTCCCAGAAGACTACGGGGAAAGAAGGGGGGGGGACAATTTCTGTTTCCGATCACCTAGGCGATTGCAGCAGAAGTGGGAGCGGGTACATGTCAAATTCTGGTACCCGCTCCCAAAGGTTCCAATCCTTAATGGGGAGCAGGGGGAAAAAGGCTTAAAGCGGAACTTCCCCTTTTAGGTGGAGCTCCACTTTAAGTTCACACTAGCCAATACTCTGAAAAGTGATTTGTAGTGGATAGCTTTTCAGGGTGAGGCTAAGCAGCTACTGTCAGGCATTCAGAAAGTGATCCTGTCGAGTCCCAAATGCCTGTCTATGCCACTTCCTCAGGACACAAGATATACTAGACATGACTGAGCTTTGTACAGGGCATTACTTTGTGATCACACAAATGTTTTTAATGCAATAGGTAACATCCAATATGCAACAAAATTGTATTTCCCCTGGATAGGTATGTGTTTATATAGCACCAAATATGCATGGCACCCCGCTTTCCCCAAGCTAGGGTACACCAGGCTAAACAGCTTGTCAAGGTCCTACCTTTTCCCTGTGGTTATGTTACTTCATGTGCTGGTGTCCATCTTGGATTCTGCTGTGCATGATGGAAGCCCTTTTATGCCTTCAGGTTTCTGTGGTCCATCCTCCAGAGGGGTGTGGCTGATGACATATAAGCCTGTGGCCCGCACACATGCTCTTTGCACTTGTGTCTTGTGTCATGTTGCTGTTACTCTGTTCTGACTCTCGTGACTCTCCAAATCTGATTCGGCTTGTCTTGACTATTCTTTGTATTCTCCTTTGATCTGACCCTCTGTTGCTGAACCCGGCTCGTGACCTGTGATTCTCGTCTGCTGTCCTGTACTGTTCTGTCCTGTTGTTGTTGACCCCCGGCTTGTCTGACTACTCTTTTGTCTCTTCCACCAGCTACACGCCATTGGCGGCGGCCATTACCGCAGCTGAGGTGTCTCGGGGGCCCGCGACCTGGTTCCTGGCTGCGTCAAGTCCATCCCCACCATCAGGGGCCCTGGTGAAGGGCAGCCTGGGACTTAGACTCCGCGCCCTGAGGGACTTCGGTCTGTGGGTGGTGGTTGTCGTCAGCCAGTGCGTTACATTGTTAGGCCTGCCTGTCCGTTCCTCAGCTCCTGCCCTGACACAGCTCCTACTAGCAAATTGAAAGTGCCCAAAATGGCTCTACAACAAGATCTGAAGAATATGAATAAAATATTAGGACAAACAAATATGATTAACCCAGAGTTTACACCAGCCCACAGGCTGTGGGCTGGTTGCGGGTGCAGAAATTGCACCTGTTCCCAAACCCTCAACCACCTGCATCTGAATCACGGTGCTCTAACGAGACGCACAGGGCTGCCATTCATTGTGAATGGCACCCCCACGCATCTCAGTTCCCAGTTCCACCATTGTCTGTGACCTGTTTTCAACCAATAAAGTGGATCTATCGGAGTACTGCCATTCCAAATTTTTCCCCATGCATCTTAACCCGCAGCACGATTGCGAGTGCAAAAAAGACCATGCGGGTTTCCCTGTGGATGTGTTTTTGAAAAGGTGCATGCACTGTTTTTGTGTGGGACATGTGGCACAGCAGCCCATTCAAATGAAACGTGGGCTCATACTAATGTGAACCAGACCTAAAAAGGCACAATGTGAGTCAAGCAGACCTCTATTTTTGTAATGTAAAAATGCTGGTTATCTGGCTTTCTTGGTGATCTACTGGCTGCATGTTTTTTTCAATCACTGAACTGCAAAAAGAATGAAGGAATGGTGACTTCATTTGCTGCATACTTTTCAGGTCTATGAAATCTTTGAAGTCAGATCACCATGACTGCCAATCAACTAGAAGGTAAAGGGAACTTCTAGTAATAGCAATTCTGGGACTGCCATTGCTGAACGCCTTCTAAGAATACCAGCTGCCTGGCTAATTCTGGCTGTGATACTTTGAGTTACTAGTCCAAAACAAGACTGTATTAGAAACACAAAACTCATAATATGCATACTTGCTCCAGATCAAGGCTCAGAAAATCTTGAAAGTAGAACAGAAGGCAAAACTTTTTTTTTTTTTCATTTTTTTATGTTCAATAATTTTTATTTAAGAATTTTTGTCAAAACATAGTATATCAATACGGTTCATGTCAGATATAACAGTATAGTTTAGTGTGCTATAAGCTCCCCACCAGTTGGCTGGGGACAATATATAAATATATAGCATTGAGATGAGAGGTATGCTTTGTTTGATCTGAACCGTGTTGAGGTGAGTAGGCTATATCGAAGGGGTAAAGTACAGGGATGTGGGGAATGATGGAGGAGAGGAAAGGGAAGGCAGGGGGAGTGCAACAGTCTAGGGGTAGGAGTCTTGGTAGTTTACAATTAGATTATCAGGATTTTACGAAGCAGTTTGGATTTTGTAGCCAATGAGACCATTGAAATTTAAATGAGTGGTAGGTGGAATTATTCAGGGCTGATCTTCTTTCCATTTCACATTGGAAGTTAAGGTCTGTTATCAGTGAATTGAGGGAGGGGGTTTTAGAAGTGTTCCACAATTTGGTGATATTAATCTTGGCTGCCGCTAATGTGTGAATAATGATGGTACGAAAGTCTTTCGAGAAATTATCAATTCCAATGTGGAGGAGGGCTAGAGCAGGGTTTGGGGTTACTGAGGTTACAGTTAGTGTTGAGAGCAAATGGAAGACGCTATTCCAGAAAGATCTGAGTGATTTACACGTCCATAATATATGGAGTGTGGAGCCTGTTTCACCGCATTGTCTCCAGCAAGAGTGGGAGTGTTGTGGATAGTAAAGCGAGATTTTGACGGGGGTTAAGTACCATTGGTGTGTAAAATTTTCATGCATGATTCCCAATGGGAACTGCATCTAGAAGCTTTATGGGTTATTTTAAAGGTTTTTTCCCATGTGTATGGTGTTATTGGTTGTAAGAAAATTTTCTCCCAGTTGATTAGAGAAGTAGTTTGCAGGGTAAATTGTGTATTTATTGTGTGCGTGTAGAAAGTTGAGATACTTTTTCTTGGGTATGTTGTTTTGTTGAAAAACTGGTATGCGGTGGTAGGAATTTTTGAAAGAAGCGGGATGTTTACTGTTTGTAGGCTATTCTCATGTAGGTGAAATATTCAGTGGTGGGTAAGTTAAATTTCTTTTGAAGAATCGAAAAAGATTCTAGTTTATGGTCTGTGTAAAGGTCTTGTATATTGGATATACCACAATTGTCCCACTGTAGCAGGATTAAGGAGGGTGTAATGAGGTGTAGTGTATTGAGTGGGGTAGGTATCTGTTTGGTATCTGCAGAGTTAGACGATAGGCGATCATACCAGGCTTGAAGGGAGGCTTGAATACACGGGTGTTTAAGAGTTTGGTTTGGGGTATTTGTGGTAAGAGAAGTATGTTACGTGGGATGAGTGGAAGAAGTGGGAGTGTTTCCATGGTGGACCAAGATGTTTCTTTAGTTGGGTGCCACCAAAAATAAATTTGGTCGAGAAGAGTGGTGTTATAGTATGATTTTAGGTGTGGGAGACCTGCTCCTCCTCTGGATGTTGGATGTATTAAGAGATTTGTGGTACAT